TCCTTGTCCTATCCTCTCCCCCTTGCTTACGCACACTTACACTTACAGGCTCGACACTACCACGCTGAGAGACTGGTCGGGAGCTCAGAGCTTGTCCCGTCTGGGGCGGCGCCGGCTGGCGGGAGATACCTGGTTGAGGAAATACCGCTAGCCAACGGTAGGTCGGAACCGGTTCTGGTCATCCACCGGGGGGAGATCCACATCCAAAGAGGGAAACATGCACCACACTTACGGGACTAATATCCTTAGTAGTTTACGCGCTCGTAATCACAAACATCTAAAGAAAGTTGTACCTGAATAGCTGAAATTTTGCCTAGAACGTGGAATCTTCCATACAGCCAATATTTTTTATCAACCCTAATATCCTTCATTGCTACTCTCGACCTATTTTGGCGTTTCCTTTGACTCAGAGGTGTAGTTAATGCACCACCAGCGGGAGGCAAGCTCAGAAGTTTGCTCTATATGAACCTTCAGTGGCTCAAGGAACTACCTCGGCCTTTCCTCGTTTAGACCTTTCTTATAAACTGATTATGCTGATTTGGACCAAGTTACATTATACATTGAATTAACAATCGAGTAAGGAAAGTTCACCAATATCTTCAAATCTGATGAAAAAATTTTTGAATAATCAAAATGAAAAAAATCAATGGTAATAAAGAATGCAAGTAGAGGAAATGACCAAACGTGCAAAGAAATAAAATTCATGACCCTGGAAGTCTAGAACAGCCAGTTCTTTTAATTAAATTTTCATGAAATTTGAATGGTGTACATCCTTGAAGTTTTCATGAAATTTGAATGGTGTACATCCTTGAAGTTTTAAGGCTAATATAGTGCAAAAATTTGAAAATTCAGACACATTTAAAGATGAGAAACGGCAGGACAAACGTAGATTCAAACTTTTCGGATCACTACAATAAACTGGGGGTTACTAGCCTTTCATAATAAAAAAATTGAGAAATTTATGGAAATCAAAAATTAATGTGAAATGAAGGAAATCAAAGGGTAAAGACATCAAAAATGAAGTATTGGAAAATTGTATTTAAGTATCATATAAACTTACATAGGCTCATTCTTTATTTTCTGAACGTTAATTAATTCTATCTACGCACTATAAAAATCTCTATTTTAGCATTTAACCCATCTCCAACAATTTCATCTTTCGTTTTGAGTTCTCAATTATTAGTAGTCATTTTCTCGCTGCAAGCGGTTTCTCTCCCGGCACATCTTCGGTCACAAGAGTGGGCAGGCTATGCGGAGCGCCAAGCCTCTTACGGTTCTCATCTGGCGGCGAGAGCGTGGCTTGGGTTTGCTTCTGATCGGAGGAATGGACCACTTTGCATAAAAATTGGTCTAATTCCAGCGCGTTCCCCGCGCCTCTCTCCACTAAAGGCCACCAACACTACTTCCCCTAATGCGCTCCCGTTGCATATACAAGATCTGTGGTGTATTTATGGATACCGAAATGGAATTTTCTCTCGCGCCTTTATTGAATATTTGAATAAACGTTGCAATCTTTTGTGATGCGTATTTGCATGGCTTTTCCCCTTTTAATGTTCCTGAGTGAATAATTTACCTTTTTAGCTTTTTGAATTAAAGATTTAAGTCTAAACGTAAAATCGTTACTATACAGTATTGTTATATTGTCTTGCCCATGTAAAACAAACTGATATTTTTTCTAGATATATTTTGCGATTCAGTATCAAAGGTAGAAAGATACTACTGCCATTCACAAATGTTTCTGTCTATTGACCCTTGGTTGCGGAAGTAAGTCACAGGGTTTCCTTGCTAGCAAAAATAATATTTTTGGCAAACCACTTTAAATATTCTACTTGTTACTCAGAACTACTTTGTTAGTATTTAAATAAATATTCCTAGGATCTTTTCCGTTATACATGTACCAGTTCACTGGCCGAAAAATTCGGTTTACTTGATTTTATTAGAAATAGTTCTCTTTTTTTGTGAGGAAAGTGCACCTGTTCAGTAATCAATATCTTCCTCCGGGGGTTTGTTTGTTTATGAAACAATTGAATACTTGTAATTTGTTACCAAGAGTGCCAGAATGAATTTTCTCTACGAATATTTGTATACTTGCTTTGCTACACGTTATCGGGTACAGTAATTTGACGATTCCACAAGTCGTGCGCGAATATTTTTCTCCCGCGGATGTCGACCAATCACATTCATCTTAGTTTATTACATATGGCAGAAGCCTACAGAGGCCAACAGCTCTGCGCACTCTACGCGACATACGACAGCTGAAGCACGAAACAGTCTGCCAGTTGGTGATTGTTGGGAAGGTTATGTGGTAGCGGAAGGTAATGTGGATGTTAGGTCAAACAAAACGACTACCGCAAACACTAATACTCTTCTGCAATTATAATAAAGCTATTATTCAAAAATAATTATAAATAAAATTATTATTAGTTTCCCCAAAAAGTAAATCTCGATCATTTATATTTGTAATACTTATTATGTTTACTTGTTTGTAGTTAATGTTGTAAAATATTTAATTAATGAAGTAAAAAGTACAATGAAAATAACATTATTTCAAAAAAATCTTTTCAAATGTTTTCATTTAGCATTATTAAAGCATCAATTTCAAAGTCGTAGAGAAAGTACTAGTCTGCTACTCGCGTAGAATTGCTATTATTCACTCGTAAAAATTCCGATACCCGCTCCTACGTCGCTCGCGCCTTTAACATCAACTCGTGAATAGTAGCCATCACTCTACGCTCGTTGATGAATATACTATTCTCAGACTTGCAGAAAATTATAAAAGGGAGGAAGATGATATTAAAGCAGGAATAACATGTTATTGGAGACTAGGAAAACATCGCAACAAAGTGTAATGCTGGTTTCTTATTTATGTGAATTTATGTGGGGAGGAGAAACAAATGAAATGATTTATTTAATGAAATATTAAATGATATTGTTGAATTATGGTCTCCGTCATCATCGAAGAAATAATTAATGAGTTTTTAATGACATTTTTAGAGAGAATTAAAGCAGTAATATAAAAGTAGTAATGTTGTGGGTTAGCAGGGATTATGAGGCCCTAGCCTCTAAAAGAGCGGTATTAAATAAGAGATATAGTGATAATATTACTGTTACATTGTAGTAAGAATATGTGCGTTCTGTGTAAAACGAATGTTTCACTGAACCACATAAATGTTGATTGATTTGTACCATACGTTCATTTGTTAACATTGTTGTTCTATCTGGTGCACAAATTTTTTCGTGTCAAAGGAAGGGAACTGTCAACTTTCGGATAGTGAAATGAAATATAACGGAAAATATTCCATTCGCCTAATTCAAAATTTTAACTTTCACGATTCTTTAAAATTTTATCGACATGTCTACGTATTCCGATATTCCTTACATACTTCGCAATCATTTTCAACGCTACCATCAGTCAGATTCCTAATTATCTTCAGAATCACTCTAGAATCGTTTTTGTACTATAATGCTACTTACCGTGGGCTGATACCCGCTCCCCTTATTTCATTTTTTCTTATCAAAATAAAGAAAGCCATGTTGTTTTCAAACACAGTGACTATTCGGAAATAAGAAGCTTTGTGAACGAAATCTTTTGTTAGTTTTCCGTAAACGTCGAAGAACGAGTGACAGGTACTTCAAAGTATTTGCTTTTTCAGGAATTTACGTACAATCTCGCAAATATCCAAACAACCAAAAAGGGTTTCCATGTTAATTTTAATAAATATTTTTTATAATGACTTATGTTAACAACTTGACTCTGGTCACGAAAATATTTTTTCTCTTTGTAAATAAAATGATAGAAAGACACAAAAATGTTTTCATAAAATAATAAAAATAAAAAACTACTGAATTCGTAATGAGATAGTTTTTACTATTCTACTAACACAGATAAAAAGAACATAAATTAATACGTTTACTTAATGAAGGAAAATAAAAATATCCATTTACATTTATTCTGGGCCAATGATTTCTTCGGCGTACACCTCAGAACTGAATAATATAACTTACTAAAAATATTAACCTAATTTAGTTCAAATTCAAAATAGAGAAATAATTTACTAATAATAAAAACGTTTTGCACAATATTGCAATATTTTTATTAAAACGAGTGTATCGATAAAACATTTAATTAAGTTTAGAACAGCATGTCACATTGGTGTCCACTTAGCTGGGATTCAAGATTATTTCCGTATTCTCGGTAAATGCCACTCGTGGTTTGAATAAACATATTCACTGATAAATGCACCCCTCTACTTGCGCTTCTAATTTTGGGAATTTTCAAACCTCTCGTCAGATGACTTATAATTTAGAAAGTTTTCCAATGCCTTCAATCCCTTTTTTCTACCATACCACCATCTAGCAAACGGCATGTTCTTAAAACCTGCTGTGGAGGATACAGATAATACGACCTTTCCTGTAACACATTTATAATGCAACTCTCCATAATGCTAACAGGTGGTTTAGGGATGATAGGGTCACCTGGGTCTCGAAACACAACCGATAAAATAGTAATCGCAGCTGGAGAATATATAAACGGCTATTAGTATCAGGTTGGTCGAGTCAGGAACCTCAGTCTCTTTGTCATCATGCGTGCAATCTGCATTCTTTTGTTCTGCCTCCTCAGTTCGATAGTCTACGCTGCGAAAGTAAGCGATGTGTCCTCTTGTACGTGCGAGCAGGGTATCAACGACTGCTCCTTTAGGATGAAGACAGAACTTCTGAATGGTGATTTTTGCACATCGACTGCCACTTTGAATGTGAGAGGGAATAACTTGAGACAACTTTCAAGGATATTCGAAAGTTCGTATCAATATCCATTTAAAAAAGTCGACGCATCTCTGAATGAAATTGGTATGAATAATTTTTCATTAAGTAATCCCGTACTTGAAGAATTAGATCTAAGCAGCAACTACTTGAAAAATGTGAATTTTTTGAATTATTTTGGAGCGACTAGTACGAATTTAAGGGTTTTAAATGTCTCAAATAACGCTATTAGCAACATTATGGATGAATTTTGTTCCTGGAAGAAACTCCATATTTTTCGAATTGCCAACAACAGAATTTCTGAGTTAAAAGACTTGTCGAGAGTGACATGTGTATATGAGCAACGCTCCTATTTACAACATCTTGACCTGTCGGGAAATCCTCTGCACACCATATCTCCTTCTGCGTTTTCATCTATGCACCAACTGGAAACCCTGGACCTGAGCGACACCGGCCACCTGGCCGCGCTGGCCGACGACACGTTCTCGGCGCTGGGCCGCCTGCGCCACCTGCGCCTCGCGGGCAACCGCCTGGCGCGCGTGTCGAGCGGGCTGCTGGCGCCGCTGCACGCGCTGGAGAGCCTGCAGCTGCAGCGCAACGCCCTGGCACACCTGCCGGCCGACGCCCTGCGCGCGCAGACGCGCCTCCGCGTGCTCAACCTGGACTCGAACCTGCTGGAGGCGCTGCAGCCGCACCTCTTCGCGCGCCTGCACTCGCTGCAGCACCTGTCTGCGCGCGACAACCGCCTGGCCGCCGTGCCCTCGCTGCGCCTGTGCGCATGCCCGCTGCGCACCGCACTCTTCGCCGCCAACGCCATCGCCGCCGCCGACGAGGCCGCGGTGCGCGCGCTCTGGCGGCCCGGGTTCGAGCTGGGGGACCTGCGCGGGAACCTGCTCAGCAGCCAGGCCTGGCAGTGGGTGGGCAACGCCTCCGACGTCACCGTGAGTACGCAGCTAGACCCACAACTTTGCTCGGATTCTAGGAGCCTCTGGACCATCCGGCTGAAGGTGGGTTACGGTTTCATTAGAACGTGTGTCTAATAAAAAAAGGAAAATCGTCTTTGTGCAGACGTGATACTAAAAAGTGTTGTACATGCGCATCAACCAAGATCACTAATATCCTATTCCTACATACATTTCGTTTTCCTGGCTATGTATTTTGTCTATAATTACCAATAATTCAGTTTCTGCAACGAACATCGGCTTCAGATTAACATGACTCTAAGAACTGAGGTACCCTTTCTTTAATTTGTGACTTAATTTTTTTGTAAACATGGCAAAACATGATTTTTTAAAGATTTTATTTAAGCAAAAAATATCGGTACAGAGAATTCGTACCCAATTAATAAAAAAGATGTGTTCTTTCAGACGTTATTTTGCAAAGGTTTGATGTAACAAAAATCTATTTAAGTAGTATTCTCTTTTATTTTAAAAATATTATTATATCACTTTATCACGAGTATCTGGTTTAAAATTCATTAATTGTTAGAGTTAATTTTATCATGATTGCTTCTAGCATGTATGTTTTTTCTCAATAATAATTTTGTTGCTCATATTATTACACAATCTTGTGCACTATAGCATGACATTTAGTATAGTAAATAATAAAATATACATGGTGTTCATTATGTATGACAGCTTATTTTCTAGTCTCCTATATGTACATTAATCCGTTTTATATTCACAGTCTTCGATGTTAGTTTACCATATTATTGTAAGAGCGAAATAAACCAGTCTTTGAAGAAATACAATGAAAGTGCGCTGCTATTTCATAAATTACTCAAGCCATTATGTTCTACACACAACATAGACTTAAATATTTCTATGTTAAAACTGTGTCACCTAAATTTTGACTAGTACTTCAAACAGAAGAGAACATATAATTTTTGGTCGATTTTCAAGAAATCTTTTATTGTATAATCTTGACTTATCTTGAGACATTCAAATTTCATTGTTTTGAAATACATGGCTAATCTGGTATGGTGTTAATTATTGTTATGTGTGCATTTTTATACACATTCAATTTGTTGGACTACTTCTAACGCAATTCCAACGATAAACGCTAAATATCTAATTCTATTGGGGGTATAAAGATATTTTTTCATGTAATTTATTTTGTAAGCAAGCAATTTTTGTGAAACTCTAATATTCGGATGATGGCAATCAATGTAAAATCAGAGGTATCAAACACTCAATATTTTGAAATGTTAACTAAACAAATAAAACTATATTCAATGGAGAGTTCAAATTATAATTCAAAACAAAACGTACTTTGTCGTAAATCGTTTGTGGAAGCGCTAGCGGTTAAAGAGTAAGCAGGATTGTCACTACAATTCCCCTGTCGATCTGACTGATTCCGCGATCCCTTAAACTTGAGGTCGATATTTAATTTTGGGGGTTCTTTACATGTATCTCCTGGAATATTTTCAAAATTTTCAAGAAAAGGACAAAATATTTTGATTAAATTTTGTTGTTGGACGTTTAAGAGAATGGTGCAGGTCTCATTGTCGTTGATATCCGCAATTTTTCAAAAATTGGAGGACAGTGTTTTCGGTGTCGTTTTACAACTAAAATATTCATGATAGAGATTTGTCCTTTATGATATAAATACTGTCAAGACAGAATTTTAAATTTGGTCGTGTACAATTTTTCAAAAATTTGAGTGGCTTTGCGTAGTTTTGCGTGAAATGCACCAAATTATTATTTTTTGAATAATTTGTGTATAGAATATTTTTTCTTGGATTTGCAATACTGAACTTTATATTTTATTTTATATAATTTTTAAAATATAATATATATTATAAAATATAATATTTTTATATTATATTTTATAATATTTTTTTAATATCTATAATTCCGAAGAAGATCGAAATATGGCCATTTTTAACTTTGCGAAAGAAATCTTTCTTTATACTTGTTTTATATCTACTGTAAAATTATTAAACTTATCATCTTAATTATTAGAAATGTTCATAGAAATGATTTTAATATTATCCATTTGGACTAAGTCATTATCATCAGTAATTTCTGATAGGCAGGAAAATGTATTGGAAGTGATAATATTGTAATAATATAGTATTGCATTAGACGTCCTACTTGGTTACTGGAATATTTATTGTTTTATCATTATCATTTTTGAAGAAAAATCTCATCATAAATAATAACAATAATAATAATAATAATAGTTATTTTTATCTTCATAGAAAATTAGCACATTAAAAAAGGCAACACTCAACGGTTCACACCTGAGCCACCACCTCTCTCCCATGGTAATATTAGGGTTAAACGTTCTCGAAAGTTTCTGTTGTGGAATGTTATTGTATTTATGGCAAAGTAAAATGTCCATTCTAACGATTATTATTGTTCATTCATTAATATTTATTAATATTAATATTGTTACTTAAGAGTACAACATATGAACAGTATAATACAATAGTGAATAAAAATTAAGAAAAATATTTAACTACCTGTATAAAGATTTTTGTGCAATAGTTGAAAATGAAAATAATCCATTCGTAATGAAATAAGGTAATTAATACATCACCGATTTATTATTCTAAGGCATTGCTTTTAATTTAGTGTAAATTCATATCTTCTCCTCAGTCAATGTAATTATTTTGTAAAATTTCGAAGCAACTTTCGAAGGAGAAACTTTAAAAGTTAGCATTAAATCTAAAGATGCCAAGTAGTAATCTCGGGGTCAGCATTTAGTGAAGAAATAGAGATTAGTGGACTTTCTGAGAATGCATGCAGTTAAGTTAGGGGTCCTGCGGGCCGTGAAGTTGGGATACAACAAAGTGCCTAACCCCAAACGTGGCCGAACTAACTACGTCCCAGCCTCAGTCCAGTTTTAACTTCCACTACCGTAACACAGACTTATTGTACCGTAATTCCCGATGTTCTCCACCTACACACGAGCCAAGGGAACTGATAATGAAGTTAATTCCGCATATTGTTCCAGTTAAAGCAAAAGTACAACCACCGTTTCTCGCGGTAGCCCACCCACGATCGTCGAACGTTCAAAATCCCGTGGAGAAAAATGGATTTCTGCGAGCCCACATCGCCAGGGGAGACAACGCCGGTTCTGGAGCAGAGCGGAGCAGCGCCGGAGGCTGCCGCCGGCAAGGAAGTTGGCTGCGTGCGGGGGACGGAGTCAGAGAGGGTCCCGAGCGAAGGGGGTGGGGGGTGGGGAGAGCGTCATGGCTATGAGGGACGGGAGAAGACGAGGCTGGCAGAGGCGGATACGACGGAGGAGGCGAGATGGAGTTGAAACCATAACGGCGACGGGGAGGGGTTGGAGATGATGGCGATGCAATTATAGGCAGAAGGCGGGGGTGGGGGAAGGCAGATTCAGAGGCTGGCGTAGAGGGGGCCAGCGTTGATCGCGGGGCTGGATCGGGAGCAAGAATGAAAGCGACTAGAGGTGGGAACGGAGACGGCTGCAGGTGAAGTCGCTAGTGAGAACGTAGATGGGGGTAGGTGTAGAGAGAACGCAGGGCAGAAGTGTAGTGTGTGGAGGAGCTTAAGACGCTGGCGGTCGCGGAGGTGTGTGGAGCCGAAAAGTAGAAGGACATGGTTGGAGGCGGGGCGGGGCGGGGCGACGGCAAGACTCCCAAGCCAATCCAGGAGAAAGACGAGCGCGTGTCGAGGAGGAAGGAGAGGGGTTAGGAGGTGGGGATGGGGGTTGGGGTTTGGGTGCAGAGCAAGGCCAGTGGAAGGGGTTGGACGCCACAAGCCTAGGGTATGGGCGGAGGCGGAAGGAGGCGGAGGCAAACAAGGCACACAAAGCTCTGTGCTGTGACTTCCCAGAACACAGCTCGAGTGACAGTAACGTCTGAGAGACACGAAATAGCAGAGACTGAAGATGAGGAAAAGGAAAAGGAAGGAGTGAAAGCAAAATTGAAAGAGGAGCGAGAGAGAGCGCGAATCGTTTTATTCGTCGACGATCTCTCTCCTGCATATTTACACGTTTAAAATTAACGAGGAATTGCTACAATTGTACGCTGTTAACGGCGCCTGTAATTTGTTCGCTTCGCATTTACTGAGACAATCACAGATGGAAATGGAAGCGGACATTTCTTATCTAGAATTCTCACAGATGCATTTGCCATAGTGACAAACGTCATTGTAGGTAGAAGCAAGAATAAAATGTTCAATTCTACATGACTTCATTGAAATAAAAAAATAATTGTTTTAGTAATAATTCCATTATTAAAAACAGTAGTTAATTTTAAAATTGTGTCATTACGAATCACAGAACTAAAATGATCACTAATGCAGTATTTTTATTCGAAAAGTAAACTGATTTTAATAGCTTTTAGAGCATCCGAAACTTTTGCGTAGTTGAATATGAAAAGCAATGATTCAAAATATTTCATGCAAGTATGTTGCATTGCTGATTATTTACATTTAACTTTCTAGCAAATTGGCTGGCCTACTTCAGTCCTTAAACAGACAAATCGGTTTGCGTTAGTGGCGCTTCAGCTGCACGTGCATTGGTGGATGCTAATACATGCTTACACCCATCATTTCCAGATACTTGCAAAGCAGAAACACTAATCGTGGCGCCTATTCTTTAAGAAACGACTTGTGAACGGCTTAGGTGGGTCAGAACATCAACTGACGTCACTGCAGTGCGTTTGACTGAAAGGTCCCTGTGTTCGAGTACCGACAGTGGCAGGATTTTAGATAGCTACGTGAAATCCAGCCGCTGTCTGAAGCAGAATTCTAGTGGCCGGCTGCTCTAAACTCTGGTTTCTCCGATCATTACCAGGTGAATACCCCTCTGCCAGAACAGTACCCTATAAAACGGTCACCGCATGCGATCTTTCCTTCCTCTATCTTGTCCTCTCTTCATCCCCTTACTCACACACACACACACATACTCTTTACTACCTCACGTATCGGAAGACCAGTTGTAGCTCAGGCTTTTCCCGGTTGGGGCGGTGCCCCGCTGATGAGAAAACCTCGATGTGTGGGTCAGCGCCAGATCTCACCATTCAGAGAGGGTAGAACACAGCCACCTCCAGAGCGAAAATCAC